ACTAAATACTTTATAATTTCAATCACAAACATTTAAATTAAGAAAAAAAATAAAAAAGTTATAAATAATAATAAATTTATTAACAATAAAAATATTAAACGTAAAATATTTAAATTTCTTGAAAAATAAAGTTTTAATTTTATAATCATCTTAAAACATTATCAAATAGTTTAATCCATTTTTTTAATGATGAAATTGCTCTTCCAAGAACATCTTTCACTAAGTTATTATGTTTATGTTCTAATATCACATCTTTTTATATTTTTAGTTATATTATCATTTCATTCATGATACTTGGGTAATTGTTAATACCAAAAAAAAAAAAAATGATACTTGGAGTAATTAAATCAAACTTATCATAATTTCTTCTTCTTTCTCTAGAAATAAGGGAGTATAAATTAATAGAAGAAGTTACTAATAAAAAAATTAATTAAGAATAATAAGTATAATATTTAAAAAAATAATAAAAAATAAAACAAACGGGTCAACACGTCAACCAGCAAGTTGACCCTAACTTGACCCGTGACCCGTACGGGTTGATAATACAAGTTATTTACGGATTATGGGTTGAGATCTGTAGACCCTAACCCATTTTTTACGGGTTGGGTTAAAGTCAAGTTGACGGGTAGGATCGATTTTTGCCAAGTCTACTAGCATGGATAAGGGGAGGTAGTCAAATTTAGATTTACATAACAAATGGAGGACAGTAATTTTGTTTACCATGACCAAACTCACCATAATTGACAATGACCTTGTTTAATGACCTTGTTTTGGGATTGATATTCTAACTTGGTGTACACTGTACATGATATATATATATATATATGGCTTCACTATGCTTTCTAAGTAGTTTCATTGGACTCAATCTATCATTTTTCCACAATTGGTGATGACCTTGTTTTGAGATTGATTTTCTAACTATAATATATATATATCAAAAAACTATTTTTCAAGGCAGACTATATGCAATTTGTCTTGTAAAATTATTTAAATGCCCTTAAAAAGCACCACATTTTAATAAATATTTTTAAAAATTAATTGCTGAATTTAATATTTTATTGATGTGGATTATGCATGTTAATTTTCAAGTTGATCTCTCTTTTTTTTTTTGTACTAACCTTTTTGTATTTAGTAATTACATTGAGTTCCAGCTAATTTAAAATCGAGCCGTGTCAGACTCCATTAGGGGAAAAGTTCTCCTAATACCTATTTTTTCATTCACAAGACTCAAATTCGAGATTTTATTTAAAGAGAACCGAGTTTTTTTCACTCGGACTAACAGGTCGTTGGTTTTAAGTTATTCTAATACCTATAACCATTTGATAAACAAACTTATATTTTCTAAAATGTATCTACTAGTGTTAGGTTTTGCATATTCAATGAATTAGTTAGATATATTCAATTTATCTAAAAACTGATATGTATAATCAATATCAATAGAATATTAAATTTAATATTTAATTTTTAAAAATGTTCATTGAATTGTGTGGTGTCTTTAAAATTGAGACTCCTATTTTTATAATGGATTTATCTGACTTGTACCCTCATTAATTAAGGAAGTTTTAATTAATTTTACACAAATTTTTATATTAAATTTATAACTTTTTATAAATTTTGAATATAAATACTATGTTTTATTTTATTTTATATTTTATATTACATTTTATTTAAATTTTATATAAAATTTTGTATAAAATTAATTATAAATATTATAATTAATGAGATTTAACATGGGCTTTAAAGATATAGGTTAGAAAATTCTTTTTATAATTTTTTTTTAATTCCTTGGAAGCAGTAGTCAATTAAGAGGTAATTCATTATCGTGGAAGTAGAGTTTATTGGAAGAGATAAATAGACTTTGGCAATATTAAAGCATGGTTGATGGTAGAGAGTAGGGACAAATACTTCGAATGAATTTATTGGAAGAGATAGAAAGACTTTGACTGTATTAAAGCGTGTTTGATGGTGGAAAGTAGAGACAGACTTTGAGGTTGCGTTTGAAACTTGAATTTGAATTTGATGAATGTAATTAAAATATATTTATTGGAAGAGATAGAAAGACTTTGACTGTATTAAAGCGTGTTTGATGGTGGAAAGTAGGGACAGACTTTGAGGTTGCGTTTGAAACTTAAATTTGAATTTGATGAATGTTTGAGGTTACGTTTGAAACTTAAATTTGAATTTGATGAATGTAATTAAAATATATATATTTAAAATATATGTATTTAAAATATATTGTTTGGATTGAATTAAAAAAAATAAATTTTAAATATATGTATTTTTAAATATATTATTTAAATATTTTAAAATACTATATATTTAAAATTAAAATTTTTTATTAAATTAAATTTTCTTTTAATTATTATTTAAATTTAATAAAATTGAAGTTAACAATTTAAATCTTCTAAAATATTATTTAAATTATCTTGAGACAAACAAATTGGATAAGAAAATAAAGGAACAATGACCTACAATAATCAATTTGTCATCATTTGGCAAGGAAAACTTCTTAACAACTGCAATTTAAAGGTCTACAGAAAATTAGATAAATTTGCTTTCAATTTTCAATGCTCAAAGCTGAACATAAGCTCAGATGAAGAATAAACGGCATACTCAAAATCATCTGAGACAGTCAACTACTGTATTAATGATCAGCATAAAACACAAAACTTGAGCATACATTTCTGAGTAATAGAATCACTTAACAGACCAAAACAACAGTATCTTTAAATTAATTATTAAACAATGCTCAAATGGAAGTCTGCTGTATTACTAAGTTATAGCTTAAAATGAAAATTCTAAACATTAGCTATAACATAAGATTTCTCATTTTTTAATGTTCCATCCTAATTCTCTCAGTAACTCAATCTCAGTAACCACTCCCAGAGAATGAAGAGAATGAAGAATAAACTAATCACACATTTTCTGCACACTAATACAAACAAATGAGAGAAAAGAAAGTAAAAACTCTTGACTCTACAATAGCTTCATTTTATCCACTCTAATACTTAAGATTCACCTCCCTTCTCTCCAACATACCATAATGTAGCAAAGTTTTATCAACTCTATAGAGACAGGTAGGGCCGCCCAACTAAAGACATCTACACCAGCTCTTCACACAAATTTTGAATTAAAGCTTTTTGAAGGACAGTAACTGTGCAGGAAAAGAACTATCCATAATTCTACATCCCATTAGCATTAACCAAGCAGCAAATGTGCAAGAAAAACAAAGATTTGTGAAGAACAAAAGAGGAAAACTCTCAAAGACAAAAACCCAATTTCAAATCGAACAACAATAAAAAAAAATCCCAATTGATTTAAGTCGCAAAATCTTAGCATTAACAGATGAAACAATAGCAACAAAGAGTTATTACGGTTAAAGGAACAATTACCAAAAAACATATTAAAAACCCAAATCCAAAAATCCAAAATCCT